AGGCGTCAGGAAGGCCTGCACTCAGACAGCAGAGGGTCCCTGCCCAGCACGAATGTAACCTGTCAGTGCTAGATGAAGGTGCCTGTCCCCTGGGGAGAAGAAGCCACATACCCCCGCCACACTGAACACGGAGGCTGGAATGGGGCCACCATTAGCACGTGGAGTAAAAATCTAGGATGTCCCGGCTCGTAGCCTTGGCGGGGGGGGGGGGTTGGCATATTCACCTGAGCAGACAGCCGGGACAAAGGACCCGGAATCTCGCACCCTGGTGAGGTGGGAAAAGAAGGCACAAGTTCAGGCCCATTGAACCTCAAACGTTGCGTCTCATTTCAGAGCTGTCATCAGACTCTGCCACGCCACTGCTCAGACGCCATTTTGGCCATGGCTGGAATAGGAGTTCTTTGGAAAAATCTCTTCTGATCAGGTAGGAAAGGTAAGAAGAGGCATGGTGGGGTTTGCCATCAATCTCTCCTGCGTGGCCAGCCCCTGGAGCCCCAGACCAGACAGCATTTATTGTCTCCGATGTCCCTTCATGGAGTGAGAGCTCATCCCTGGCCCTTTGCTATCCAGCAGGTGGGGTGAGAAGGCCTTTACTCCACCAGGACCCCCTATATCTGCCAGAGAAAACTACACGGAGGAGTGTGTGTGTGTGTGTGTGTGTGTGTGTGTGTGTGGCTTTGATCTATTTACGTATTCCTTTCTGCCCCCATATCCCACTCCTATTCCACCTTTGCAGACTGTCTTTTTAATGAGTTCAATGGGCATGTTGAGTTGCAAATGTCCTTCAGGGGGAGAATGTCTTTGTGTTGCACTGCATGTATTTTTTTAAACATTTATTTTTGAGAAAGAGAGAGACGGAATATGAGCGGGGGAGGGGGAGAGAGGGAGACACAGAATCCGAAGCAGGCTCCAGGCTCTGAGCTGTCAGCACAGAGCGTGATGTGGGGCTCGAACCCACGAACCATGAGATCATGACCTGAGCCAAAGTCGGACGCTTAACCGACTGAGCCACCCAGGTGCCCCAACCCTGCGTGCGTTTTTAATTTACTAATGTCCTTGATTTCCTCCGATACCATGTGGAAGTTGCCCATTTTTACTCTCTCAGTGAAGGGTCCCCTGTCTGCCTGCACCTCGCGGTCACCCACAGACATGTCCCTTTATGGAATACACTTGAGAAATTCTTTAGCAAACTTGCCCCGGAAGGGAGTTGAAGCCCCGTTGTGCAGTCACATATCCACACAGACACTGGGCAGTATTCAACTTGCTAACGTGTTGATGGTCTGAGAGGCACAAAATGCTACACGCTTTTCCTTACCTGTTCTTCCAAGTGCTTTGGATTTTCTATACATAAGTTTCCTGTTCCCTTTTTTCACTCATTTCTGATTGGGGGTTTCTGTCTCGGTCTTCTTGACTTCGAGGCGTTCTTGATCTGTTATAAATACTAATCCTTTGGTCCGTTTCCAACATCATATATAATTTTCTGCCATTCTGTCAGCTCTTTATTAACTTTATACATGGTGTCCCTCACCGACCAAAAATCCTTAATTTCGATAGAAGCACTTTCCAGAATACGGATCAGTGGAACAGAGCTGAGGGTCTAAAAAATAAGGCCTCACATCTGCAGGCAGTTGGATGTTTGACAAGGGGTGCCAAAGCAATTCAGTGAGGAAAGAACAGTCTTTTCAACAAGTGGTGCTGAGGCCATTGAAGATCCACAGTAGGAGATAATGCAAAATATATGTTGGCCTCCCCTGTAATTCCTGACACAGGGCTCCTGAAGGGCCTGTAATTTCCTGGGTGATAGGAGCATCTTTTGTTCTGATGAGGCAACTCTGGGGGGGGGGGGGGGGGGCTCCCGGTGGCTCTTGGATGAGGGTCACCGGAAAGACCAAGCCGTGAACAGCATCTCGGAATGTTCAATGTTGCCCTCCCTCCCTCCACCCTGCCCGCCATGCTCCAGAGAGGGAAGAAGGGCTGGAAATGGAGTTGATAATCGAAGCTCCATAAAAATAGAAGCCCCCATACAACCCCAATGGAATGGGTTTGAGGGAGCCTCCAGGCTGGTGGACGCATCCACACCAGGAGGGTGACACAGCCCAGCGCCGCGGGGACAGAAGCTCCGATACTCAGGACCTTCCCAGAGCTCACCTTATGCATTGCTTCACCTGGCTGTTCATCTGTGCCCTTTATCACATCCTTTAATAAACACCTAAGTGTTTCCCTGAATTCCGTGAGCCACTCTAGCCGATTAACTGAACCTGACAAAGGGGTCACTGGAAGCTTACAGCCCGTTGGACAGAAGCACAGGTGACAACTAGGGCTTGAGACTGGCGTCTGAATGGGGGACAGTTTTGTGGGGCAGGGCCCTTATTCTGTGGGATCTGACACTATCTCTAGGTAGATGTGTCCGAGCTGAGTTTAATGGTAAGAGACCCAGCAGGTGTTACAGAGAGTTGTTTATTGTTTGGGGGCAAAACTACCTATTTGGTGAGGAGAAGGGTCAGAAGTGCTTCGTGTGAGTAGTACAGGAGACACAGCTGCATATGAAGGAAAAGCTCAGATTTTTACCTTTACGCACATGAAAAAGAGTGAAGGTGGACCTCTACCTCATACCATATCCAAAAATTAACTCAAAATGGATCCAAGACAAAAACGTAAGAACTAAGACTACAAACACTCAGAAGAAAACATCGGTGTACATCTTTGGGACCTTGGATTTGGCAGCGGTGTCTCAGGACACGAAAAGCACAAGTCACGAAAGGAAAAATAGATAAATTGCACTTTCTCAACCTGAGTAGTGTCTGTGCTTCAAGGCACACCAGCAAGAAAAGTAAAAAGACAACACACTGAATTGGAAAGGATGTCTCCAAATCATATGTCTGGTATAGAACTTACAGCTGGAATGTGTGAAGGACGTTGGCAATCCAATAATAAAAAGCAGATTTTAAATTTTAAAAAAAGCAAATTTTGAAATGGCAAAGGATAGATAGAGGCACCTGGGCGGCTCAGTCGGTGAAGCATCCAACTCTTGGTTTCATCTCAGGTCGTGATCTCACGGGTTTGTGGGTTCGAGCCCCAGACGGGGCTCCCATGCTTGCGGAGCCTGCTTGGGATTCCCCTCTTTCTCTCTTTTTGCCCCTCTCCCCTGTTTGTGTGCTCGCACGCTCTCAAAATAACTAAATAAACTTAAAAAATAAAATAAACTAAAATGGCAAAGGATCCGAATAGACATTTTCCCAAAGGTTTGCAGATGGCCGATAAGCAGGTGAAAAGAGACGTTCGCTGTCACTAGCCATCAGGGAGAGGCAAATCCGGAGCGCAACGGGGCACCCCTCCTCACGGACCGAGACAGCCAGAATTAGAAAGATGAACGAGAAGCCATGCTGGCAAAGATGTGCTCAAATCGGACTCTCGTTCCCTGCAGATGGGGGGGTGGGGGTGAAGTCTCATAGCCGCTTTGCAAAACAGTCTGGAAGTTCCCCAAAAGGTTAACTAAACACAGAGTCACCGTATGACCCAGTAATTCCACTCCTAGGTGTCTGCCCGAAAGAAACGAAAACAGAAGTCCGCACAAATACACGAATGTTCAGAGCAGCATTCTTCCTCACAGACAAAAAGCTAAAATAATTCAGGTTTCCACCAACCGACGAATGGATAAATAAAATGCGGTGTCATGGAATATTATTCCCCCATGAAAAAGGTGCACGAAAACATTTTACACCTTAAGTGGATGAATCGTATAGGATGTGAATTAAATCTTGACAATAAAGCTGTTGCCAAGAAAAAAAAAAAAAAAAAAAAAAAAAGAATATCACCATCACCCCCCAATGTACTCATCACCAGGATCCAACATTTTCCCAGTTGCATTTCCTATCCCCCTACAGTCAGGCCCTAACTTCCAAGTTTGATTTTTTTTTTTTTTCTTAGATGGTCAAACTTTGCATCCATGCTTAAAAAAGCATTGCTTCTGGGATTTATTAGGTATATAAAGGCTTTAGGAAAATCGGATGTATTAAATGTGTTAGTGTGTTTTGAAATATCTAAAGCAGTAGTTCCCAAACTTTGGGGGGGTTGGGTGTTGGGGGGGGGGGGTGGCCGCTTTTAAAATCCTGACGCCCACCAATTAAATCGGTTCCTGAGGGTAAAAAACGGCATCCATAGTTTTAATGATTTTCCAGGTGATTCCAACGTGCCACCAAGTTTGTGAAATTTAGCTTAACTATGGAAATTGTGAAAGACGTTTCAGTGGAGTCGCATCTACTAACCTCATGAGGTCATTAATTCTAATGTAGGAACGAAATGAAAGGTTTACACGACAGTCGTTTTGCTAAGTCGAATAACGAGATGCGCCCAAGTTGAGCTGACGATAAAAGTCTTGAAAATGTATCACCGAATTCTTAAATCACTGGCTATTTAAATACTGCAGATGAGAAATGGAACTACTTAGACCCGAAACTTGTCAACGTTTCCCGCATCTGCAACATCCCCAGAGGACGGAAAACCGGAGGGACAGCGGGGTCACCGAGACCTTCACGTGGTCCGGGCCGCAAGGGAGTTCAAGTGCCGGAGGCCCGGAAAAGGATCGCGCTGGCCAGGAAGTTTTGCCCGGTGTCCCCGCAGCCTCGGCAGCGGCCCCACGGGGACTCGCCGCCCATGGCCGCGTGGCCGCCGCACGGAGGCGGGTGAGGCGCGGGGACGCGCGCTCCGAGCCCGGGAGACGCGCGGGCGCGGCGCGGAGATGGGCCCGCGAGCGCGGCGCGCGCTGCTCCTGCTGTTCCTGTCGTTCCTGTCGTTCCTGCTGCGGACCGGGGCTGCGCACCGGCGGCCGCCGCGTGAGTCCGGGCGGCGGGGGCGCCAGATCCAAACCCGCTTTGCAGCGCCGCTGGGGTCGCCAAGTGCGGAGGGACGGCTGGGCCGCGAGCGCCGCCTCTCCCGGGAGGGGGCGCCGCCGCCGGGCGCGGGCGGGGTGTTGAGACCCCCTCGTCGGGGACCTGTGACCCCCCCCCCCCCCGTCCCAGCTCCCCAGGGTGGCGCCCGGAGCCACCCGCTCCCCCCCGCCGACCGTGACGACAAATCTGTGCGTTTCTCACTGAGGCCGAGCTGGGATCCTGGGACTCGGGTCTGGGTGCTCCTGCTCCGCTTTTGGCCCTGTCTTGTCCCCCGGCCGTCCCCAAACAGGAAGTCCTTCTCCCGAGAGAGACGCCCAGGACCGGGCCGCTGTTTCCGCGCGGGGCTCCGCGGAGGGCTGGAGGCCGCGGCCCGGCGGGGTCCCCACCGCACCCCACCTGGCGAGCCGGGGGGCTGGGCTGGCCGCGCCCCCCACCCGCACCCCCCTGCGGCCTCGGGTGGGGGGAGGCCCCGAGCCCGATCCGCCCGGGCCTTGGTGACTCTGGGCGCTTGTGCTTTTCCCCGGAAGAAGAGCCTATCTGTGATTTCCGGGCTTTTGGACTGAGCGGCACGGTTCTCATTTCCAGCCGCTGGAGGTTGGTGATCTGCGGTGTTAACCGTACGGTGTAATTAACTGGCCTTTACTAAAGGACGCCAGCGTGATGTCCCCTAACGTTTAAGTAATGAACTCGCTGTCCTGTGGTCTAGGTTGGACTCTACGGTGCATTGGGGAGGTCGGAGCTATTCTTAGGGTGACTTTAGGGGCGGTTAAACCGGCCCTGGGGTTAAATTCCCCCCCCCCCCCCCAGGTTACAAAGAATTGAGGCAGCGCCTCTCTGTTGGGAAAAGAAGTACCAGCACGGTTTCTAATCTCAGTCGACCACGACGCTTTATACGCCTTTGCACAAAAGCCTGGGAACAACACGGAGGGTTCGTCGTCCGTGTATCCACGGTTTATCCATGAGGAGGATGAGGCAGGACCCGCTCCTGGGTGATTTTGTTCCATGTTACCCTGGGCTTTTGAGGCAGAACCCGGGTCTCTGTGGCTCTGACTGTTCAAGGTCACGCCCCATCAGAGGCTGAATCATGAATTGGATGTCGAACAGAAATATTCGTCGCTCACAAGTCTAAAGAGGGTACCAAGCGAGTGTTGCCCTGTTCTAGGCCCGCGGGGAGGGCGGGAGCCATCCTTGCCCTCCCCCCCCCCCCGATATTTTGCGTTCTAGTGGGGGGATGGTCATGAACAAAAGGACACAGAGCACCAGGGAATGCTAGGAGCTGTGAAGACACCCAGGGCAGGCCCTCTGGGACCAGGGGACAGCGGGGACCCGAAGGAAACGAAGGTCATGGCCACTCGGAGCTCTGGGTGGGCCCTGAAAGTTGAATTGGAGCAGGCGTTGGGGCCCCGATGCTACTGACACTTTTCTGTCATGGGGACCCTTGCGGGCTTTGTGGGAGGGCTTACAGCATGCCTGTCCTTAACCCACTGGAGGCCAGTGGCACTCCTCCCAGTTACGGAGGCCAAACACATCTCCAGACACTGCAACCTGTCTGCTGAGAGACCATTCCCGGGCTGGGAACCCCGGGGCTGCAGGAGGGGCAGGGACATCGGTGTAGCGGGCACGCAGGGGCCACAGGCCACATGTAGTCTGGAGGCAGGTGCTGAGGGAGGTCTGGGTGTTGGGTGAGAGAAAGAACCGTCAACGGCGACTCTGTTATGCAATTCTTTTAAAATGTTTATGGGCTCGAGGAGTAAGGCGACAGGTGATGCCGTGGCCTCGACGGTGAAGGCAGAAGAAATCCGGAGCCTGGTTTTGGACTTGAGATTCCAGCTGGTCATTCCCGCGGGTGGTGTCCCGTGGGCAGCTGGGCGTAAGAATAAAAATAGGGCACATCTCACCCATTCATCCAGCAAGTCTGTGCTGAGCACCTCTCATGCTGGGCAGGCAGGGGCCGCCAGCGCCGAACGCCTCGTTCCAGGACTGAGGAAGCTGTCGGGGAAACTCACCTGCTGGATGCAGGGCTTGTGCTTACTGGGGCTTCTTCCCTATTTGCTTTGCAAGTGTCTTAGTGCTGAAAAGGTGCCCTGGGTGGTTCAGCAGCAGACCTCCCAGCATCTGGTAGCAAACATTTGCTGGTTTCAGTAGCAGGGAAGGGTTTCGAGCTGGGAGTAGTGTGGAAAAAACCCACCGGCAAAGTCCTCTGGACTTGGGTCTGATTCAGTCTGAGCATCAACTCCTGGGCTCAGCTGCCCCGGCTAGAGACACTTCGGGATCTTACGGAGTCTGTGGGCTGCAGGGGCGATTGCCTGAATTGTGAGAAGCGGGGCAGAGGCTGGGGGCCGGAAGGAGTGGCAGTCTGCCGGGGGGGGGGGGGGGGGGGGACAGGAAGAGCAGACAGGCCTGTCGCGGAGGGAGGAGAGGCATCACACTCCACATCTCATGGGGTGGGCCGTGACACAGCAGGGGTTGGGCGTTGATTCAGAGGGGCTACGGCACCTCCCAGTCCCCCTGGGGGCCCACGGGGCTGTCCTGTCACCTTTTCTCCAGGGTCCCACTCCCTGAGCTACCTCTTCATGGGCGCCTCAGTGCCAGACCTTGGGCTGCCCCTGTTCGAGGCCTTGGGCTACGTGGACGACCAGCTGTTCGTGTCCTACAATCACGAGAGTCGCCGGGCAGAGCCCCGCGCCCAGTGGCTCAAGGATGGGGCCCCCAGCCAGCTGTGGCTGCAGCTGAGTCAGAGCCTGAAAGGGTGGGATCACATGTTCATCGTGGACTTCTGGACCATCATGGACAACCACAACCACAGCAAGGGTACGCGGACGGGGCCCTCACTTTCCGGAGGCGGGCGGAGCGTTTCTCTCCCTCAGAGATGCATCTGGGGGCCAGAGCAGGGAGTGTGGGGTCCTGGGGGGAGGAGGGGGCGTGTGTGAGGTCGTTCGGTCCCTGGGGACGGTGAGAGAGGGACTTGCTCCTGTGGTTTCAGTAACAAAGCTCGGGGTGTCGTCAGAGTCCCACACGCTGCAAGTGATCCTGGGCTGTGAGGTACGAGAGGACAACAGCACCAGGGGCTTCTGGAAATACGGCTACGACGGGCAGAACTACCTCGAATTCCGCCCTGAGACGCTGGACTGGAGGGCTGCAGAGCCCAGGGCCTGGGCCACCAAGCTGGAGTGGGAAGGGAGCGCGATTCGGGCCAAACAGAACAGGGCCTACCTGGAGAGGGACTGTCCCATGCAGCTGCAGAGTTTGCTGGCGCTGGGGACAGGGGTTCTGGACCGGCAAGGTATGGCGGGAGCACCCCCCCCCCCCACTCATGCCCGAGGGGAACGCGGGGCGAGGTCCGGGGCTCGGGCCTCAGAGGTGGCCAGGGTCCTGTGACTCTCCGGGAAGGACCCGAGGTCCGAGGTCTCCCCCTTAGAACCAAGGTGTCTGACGGCCAAGGGTCACGGCTTGCGTTTTTCCCTCCGTGCACGCGGCCGGAGAAGCAGCATCTGTGACCTTGTGATGTAACCAAGAACCCTGTGTATATTTACACCTTTTAGGAACTCAGCGATGTCAATTGTCTCATGAATGCCAGGTCACGAGAGTACCCACCGGCGGTGGGGGGCACCAATCAGAGAAACAGGATCCTTTGGAGGTTAAAGGTTACCGTCACAGATCTGGTCACAGAGCCCCAGAACCTAGACATAGTCCCTGAAGCCTGGCTATCTTCCAGGCCCTTCTTACAAGATTTCTTGTTGGGTTGGGCGAGGTGAATTGCCAGGAGTGGTTGTTCAACCCTCTCTGAGCCACATCCAGGGTAATTTTACCTGGTTCCGTGTAACACGCAGAAGATCCGAGCTGCCCGCGTGCACGCTCGTGTGCAGGCCAGGGGGACAGACTCGGCTGCCGTCCCCGTGGCGCCACGTCAGGGCCGAGCCCCGCAGCGTGCTCTAGGACACAGAATGGCGTCTCTCCGGCAGCCCGCCCCGTCTGAATAGGGCGTCTTGTCCCTCTAACCCATAGAGAAGGGAAGTGAAAGCTCCAGTCTTCCTGACAAGGGTGGAAAGATCCCCTCTCCAGATCCTTCCTCCTTCCTGTCCAGTGCCTCCCTTGCTGAAGGTGACTCATCATGTGGCCTCTGCAGTGACCACTCTACGGTGTCAGGCTCTGAACTTCTACCCCCAGAACATCACCATGAGGTGGCTAAAGGACAGGCGGCCACTGGAGGCCAAGGACGTTGAGCCTCAGGACGTGCTGCCCAACGGGGACGGGACCTACCAGGGCTGGTTGGCCGTGGCCGTGCCTCCCGGGGAAGAGCACAGATACACCTGCCTGGTGGAGCACCCGGGGCTAAACCAGCCCCTCGCTGCCACGTGGGGTACGGACGAGAGGGGCGGGCCGAGGGGCTCTGTCGTGGGTGGAACCCGAGCGCTGGCCCGCGGGGAGGGGGGTCTGCGGCGACCCTCACAGCTCCCTCTCGCCTTTGCTCTTTCAGAGCCGTCGGTGCCCAGCACCCTGGTCATTGGAGCCATCAGTGGGATCGCTGTTTGTGTCATCCTCTTTGTTATTGGAGTTCTGTTCCGAATCTTCCGGAAAAGGCAGGCTTCGAGTGAGTAGGAAGAAGGAGGACGTCTCTTAGCACCTCGGACCCCAGGACACACGAATTCGGCAGGAAGCGGGGCTTTGGGAGGGCAAAGCGGATCTGGCACCCACGAGAAGCCTGTTCCTTTTTTCCTTTGGGAGCACTGGTGCCTCCTTGGGAGCGGGAATGCGTGGTTTTCCTCAGAGTGGAAGGTGCAAATTCCACAAACTTCTTTTGAGCACCGGCTGTTTTGCAAGGTGCTGTTTAAGGTAGTGCAGGGGCTCTGGAGCTGAGGCCGTCACCTTGGTCATTCGGAGAACGAGGAAGGTGGGGGGGGGGTCTGCAAAGGTGGGAAAAGCCACGCACCCCCCCCCCCCCCCCCCAGAGCAGGAGGCCTCGTGGGGGGTGAGAAAACAACGCCG